GATCCTCAATTATTTAAAATTTATATGATAAGCAATTTCAGCTCCATTGAATAGTCACAAGAGGTTGCAATAAAAGAAAATCTGTTCCTATGGCGATCATCTATAGAATTACAGCAGTAAGTAGCAAGTTCCTGTTTAGCAGTCTCGTCACTCTAATTATGACTGTGGAACTGGAGGAAATAAAATAATTGTCTCTCTTGGGACATGGTTGTAACCGACAGTATTTTTTGGGGAAAAATAAAAGCCTTACTGTTTAATTTTGTTAAGGGGTTTGATTGCCTCTGCATGGACATTGAAATGCCAAGTGTAAATTTGAGAGTCACCCCCTCAGAGGAGCCAATTTAACTGTTGTCATGGATATTCTAATGTGACTCCTTCTGACTTCATAATGACTGAATTCAGAATTAAAATGGCTTTTTTTCAACTCCAGGTTTAATTGGTAGCCTTCATGCCTACTGCAGTTCTTAATGGAGGGCAGTCAAGGGTTGGCATTTTGTCACAATGTACAGTAATACACCTAGAGGTTCAATTGAATACTTTTGAAACTTTCTCAGGATGAACTTCTGCTAGTAATAAAAAAACAAAACCTCTAACAGGTGATGTCCATAGCAACATAAACCTAGATTGTATGTTTGCAGCGGTTTAACAATAGTTCTAAATGAGGATCAACACTCCCACCATGGGAGTAGGAGGGGTTACGGAAGGGATTTTGAACAAACCGCAAACATACAAAAGATTCTGAAATAAAGTCTGACAGTTAGCACAGCGCTGAATCCTGGCAATGTGTTGTTATCTGTAATTGCAATGACCTTACCTGGAATGTGTTGTTCTGATGTGTGTGAGGAGGAGTGGTGACTCATCTGGTTTGCATTCTCTGTAACTGTGCTTATCTCAAAGTGTCTCTGCTCCACAGCACAGTTCGTACCTTGCTGTCTCCTGCCTTTGCCAGTGAATCTCTGGATGAGCAAACCTGTGCTACTGCAGTATCACACGTTAACCAGTACAATAGAGTAAATTACTCTATTTTCAACAGAAAATACTGCAATATTTGATCACGATATGTATATTTCTGTCTAGAGTATCCAGATATTTTAAAATGTTTTAGACTTCGGACTTAGACCATAGACTTAGAATATCTGCTGTGTTTGTTATATCAACACTAACTTCAGTTGACTCTCCACATCTATTTGATCGGAAATGCATGTGGATTAAAAAGCATTGTTTACAACATTTATTTGAATAAAACAGAAGAGTTATATGAGTAAATTACTGAGGTACTGTCAATAAAGTAGCCATGTGCCTGTAACATAATATTTACATTTAATAAAACAACAGTGAGTATGTACTTTACTAACTTAGAAAAAGCGCTGCTGATCTCTGTTATTTCTTTCTTTTTCCATCTTAATCTTCCTCAGTCTCTCAAAGCTGCCGATAAACCCTGTCAGGGGTCTCTGTATGTGTGCCACGGGGGGGCGGTTCTTTTTGAAGACACTTAACTCTCAGTACTTAAAAAAGTAATTGTTATTAAGAAACGGCTGGTGTGGTAGATGCACCAGCTCTCCCTCATGGCCAGTTTGAATTTGTATGTTCCCCAGATCCACTTTCCTGATGATGCAGCCGCTGTGAAGATTCTTTCATCTCTGTTTTATGGTTTGCACACTGATGCCATACGGAAACCGTGAGGACAGGTCAAGATTAAGATGATACGACTTTGCTTACAACCATTAGAGTCTTCGTATGTTTAGAGATGTTTTTCTCTTCAGTGGATGGTGGGAAGACTCTCTGCAGACGAGTCAATGTCTTGCGAACTCTGCTTAGTCAGGCCAAACACACCCGAGGCAGATCTCACTCTGCCTGCATATAAATTAAAGCAGATAGCCTTGTCCATGCTTTATTATCTGCACTGCTGCTGAGTGCTGTCTCAAACTCTTCACTGAGAGGTGGTGCTGATTTCACAGAGGCAAACGACAAGAGCGTCAACCTCTTTAGCCTGCCTCAAGCTGAGGAGGAATAATGGCCACTGTTGTGAATTTATGGGGAACGCTGCAAATGAGCGATTAGTGATTCATCGCCATTGTGTTTTTATCAAGTTTTCATAGCACTTCTAAAGCAACACCTTTGTTTACGGTCAGTACATAAGGGACTACATGTGTGTGTCTCCGTTTGAATAGACAAAACACAACGTGAATCATACAGCTTCTTGGATGTCGCCAAAGGCTTTTTTTTCCAAGCAAGGTTTCTTTTTGTTTTTATATATATAATTATCGCTCAGGGCAGGACGGCAGGCTTAGTCATATTGTAATTCCTATTTAAAAAAGTAATCTGTGGACAGTATAGCCTCTATGGATTCAGATGATGACATGTTTGTAGGTGTTTTGTTTCAGTATAATGATTTTTTAAAAATAAACCCATACGTCTAACTGGACCTTATATTCATTCTGTTCACATTCTATTCTGCATGTCACCGCCACAGCTGTGACTCCTGGTCCTTGACTCACCAGTTTTCCATCTTTCCAGATTGCGTCCTGTGTGGAAATACCTGGTCCTTTCTTATATTCCTCACTTTAAGTGTTCAGTGATATCTCTGGTGATATTTGGCTGATTATTCCACGCCTTGACTCCTGCCTGTATTTTGTACCCTTTTCCCACCTTAAACACTAACCAGCTTTACTTGTTATCATTTTACCTTTGAAATAACAATTTTGAGATGGGTTTGTGTGCAGCTAACTGACTAACCTGGTGGTCAAAATGAGGTGGTGACTGTAGTGGGGCTTAAAAAGACTGCATCAAAATCTGATTTTGCCATTTCAAACAAGCTTAAATCGGTGTCTGACCCGGTCATGAAAAACTATTTCTTGAAGGTAATTTATACTGATGTGTTATTATCTGTTATATTCCTTTTTACATATTTATTTTTTAAAGTGACCCTTTCCATCATGCAAGTGTGAAATTGATAAATAATTTGATGTAAGAAACAATTTATGACTTTTTTTTACAGCAACAGTTTTACAGTTTCACTTATTTCTTGTTTAAAATAAAAATTATAGTCTATGCTGACCATGCAAATTTAAAATTAGCTGCCAAAAGGACATCGAATGAATTATATCTCCTTTGGGAGAGATAAGCGTGACGGATAACACGTCAGAAGTTCTTAAAATAGAATTGTGTCGGGGGTCATGCATCTCATTAGAGTTCATCCTTTCAGGGTGAAATAGTCTCATCACAGTTGTGGTTTCCAGCTGGTGCAACAAGGCACAGAGTGATGGCAGCATCTGACTGTAACCAGCTCTCTTCATCAAGAGAGCTACCTGTCATGTTGCGTGGTGATGCGCACACCAGCAAAAGATATATTAAACTTCTGGCCTAAATGCATTACTCCAGGACCATCACACACTACATTAAGTCAGCTCTGAGCATCCCTGTTTCAAGTCAAAAACGCTTTGGAGCTCCATCTGTCTTTACCCTGAATAGATCGTTAACTCACTTGCATAATCTCAGACACACTAGCTGCTCACTAGGTCTTCAATTGTGTCTCACTATGTTGCTCAGTCACTGCTGTCTGCTTATATGATCTAATGCAAGGGACTGCAGGGACACCTCTCCCAGCCACATTTTTAAAAAATCTCACATGCACGTTATTTTTCCTTTGATTTCCTGCTAACTTTGGAATGTGATGATGTTAAGAGTGATACAGCTAGAATTGGGGCACACCATGTAATAACTTTTCTAGAAGGTTTCAGCTTCCATTCATTTGAAGTAGTTGGCAAACTGTCTTGGACCAGAGCTCCAGCACAACAAATGTGTCACACTTTAAACAGACTTTTGGATCATTTCCCCCCTTCCTCTGTGTTTACGGTTCAAGTGCCTTATGGACTCTGTGTGTTCTACAAGAACAGTGTCTTATGTGTTCATTGCACTTGTGTGTGTGTGTGTGTGTGTGTGTGTTTTGGGCTGCTAATCTGAAATGCTTGTGAAGGAGTGAAAGCAAAGGTTTAAAATGCAGAACAGAAAATAAGCCTTGGCTGTTTCATTATCTTAATGAACTCATTATGGGTCTGATAATTGTCCTCAGTTGGCACGACTGATTGGATGCTGCTGGCAAGAGATATTTCACCATGGGTACATTTTAAGTTTCAGTTTAAGCACAAGAAGGACTGTAGCGTTCTGTGGCTGCACAGCTTTCCTTATCGGGGGTGTATTGCTGGGAATCCACTTTCTCCCCTTCTCTACTGTACTGGAATTTTCCAGAGATGGTTCAAATAGGCAAATAAGAATGCTCTGCATTGCTTTTGGTAGTAAATTAATTTAAACGGGAGTAAAAGAAATAGACTAGTTAAGTTCCTATTTTTCTTGGAGACAAGAGTTGCAGGTACATAAAACTTTAATGGATTTTTGTCTAAAGCACTACTCACTGTGGCGCATCTCATCTGAGAACCATCTTTATATCTTTACCTACTTTCAGGTGTATGTCTGAACAGGGCTAAAGCTCAATCGGTCATGCCAAGACCAGGACATCCCTAATTCAGTCTTGTCACAGGATGTCCTTGAAAAGAGAATTTCACTCAAACCTATTCCTTTCCCCCAGACTGAACACCCAGATTTAATTTACAGAAACAGCGTATTCTCTTCACTGCAAACCAAAAGCCATTAAAAAGGTAATTCCCAGCTTGTGTTGGAAAGTGGGAAACATCATAAGTACCCAATTTGACAATGAACAAAACAACGTGGTAATCAAAAACTAAACAAGTGCTAATTGGGAACCAAAGACGAACACAAAACTCTCAGCACTCCACCCAACAGATGATGTAACGCAGTGTGAAAATGTCAAAACTAAAACAGAGTTAAATACAAGAACAGACTAAAAGATCCAGGGCCACAGCACTAGTTTTCAGCAGCCCACAGAGGCGGGTCCTGGTCTCCTGGCTCCTTCAATCCTCCATGTGGTTCCCCCCGATTGGCGGGATGCTGACTCACCGGCACCGCTCCCTTCTCCATCTCAGGCGGAGAGCATCAGATGCTTAGACATTAGAATACAAATACCCCTGCTGCAACAGAGGGGAGGTCACATCCCCCGTCCCCGTTTGAGACCAAAATAACACCATAAACTCAAATCAGGCAAAAATAAAACAACAATTTCTCTGAGGATAATATGCATATTTAGGTGTTACATATGAAACCATCTGAGTTGTGTTTTTGTATTTATTTAATGTGATGTTTATAATTTATCTCTGAAACTGTCTAACGTGTTTCTGCAAACTTCTTATGTCAAAGTGTTCCTTCGGTTGACAGTTAGAAATGTGCTAATTCCCATGAATAAAGATTTTGTCATATAGCAGAAATCAATGAGTCTTCAGTGGAATGTGGTAGTACATCTTCTCTCTCCCAGACTTGGTAAGATTCCGACATGCTACAGGCATGTTCTGGCAGAATGGGTTTTGGCTTATAGCAGTAATTGAGAAACAGCTCCCTCAGCCAGCAGGATAACATTCTCCTCCCCTCCAGTCTCACAGAAAAGCCTCCTGCCAAGAGTCCCCTACTGCACTGCCACCTGGTCTTATGTTGTAAGTCTAATCCCAATCAGAGACCCATCCGAAAGCAGCCAGGCTTCCTTATGAAGCCGTTGTCAGACCTCAGCGAGGACCCTGGCACCAACCTGTATGAATAAACAAGCATCAGTGCCAAGAGTTTAGCTAATCTCCTTTGCTTAGGTGTGATTAAATTATGGGATTGAATGAGCAACAAATATCTTCTTAACTTTAATGTCATCCTCTTTTTTTACTCTGCAGGGTGTCACAGATGGGGAACATTGCTCTCAGAAAATAAGAAAAAGATCTGTCTCACTTAAGATCAGTTTGAATGCAAGAATTACAAAATAGAAAGAGACTTTCTCTGCAGTTACATTAATCATCTATGCTCTTCAGAAATGGATGTTTTTCTTAAACAAAGACAAGATCATTTAATAGAGAACGACAGAGCCACACAGACCCTCTCATTTAGTTACTCAGTATGAGCAGGGTTGAGGCTGACCTTTTTAAATGGAATTTTCCCTAAGAGCAGAAGCCAGGGACCAAATTCAAGTCTTCAATCTTGTAGATGTAAACTCTGACATTCAGAGCCCTTATGTTTATCTCATTGATTCAGCAAACGTCAAAAGTCCCTGCTCTAATCCCCCTCTGCTCGGCCTGCCATCCCTTTGTCTCGCTTCATGGGTGCACGGCTACTGAATGCGAATTTTCGCGTGATATTTAAACAGCCACAACATTTGCTTCAATCAAACGGTCACTGCCCAAAGGATGTTGCCCTCATCAGTAGCATGCTAAATTCATCATCTGATTAGTGTTTTCTAATTTACCTGCTGTGTTTGTTGAGAATGCATCTTATTTACTGCATGAGATGATGTGGCGGCTGTTGGGCGCTCCAGAACAACTCCCATCCAGCTGATTATTTACAATCAATTTACTAACAGAGAATCTAAATTAAATCTAAATTAGCACTTAAAATAGTTTGAAAAGGAACAATTGAAAAGAGTTATTAATTATTTTATTGAAATGGCCCAGGGTTATGACCAATAGAGTACATCATGGTTTCCAACTTAAATTAGAAAATAATATGAGAAAAATATAATTACAGATCTTTGGTGACAACCTTATGCATTGTGAAAGCAACTAATTTTAGAGTTGAACTTGTTTTGCAGTTTGTCCTGTTCACTATGCAACTGTTATTTTACCAGTGTCTTAACTGGAAATTAGGCTAATCATTGGTAATAGGTATTTCTTTATGATCCAGTTTACTTTTCCTGGTTAAGTCTTAAAAACAAAAAGCTCTTTTCCAAAAATGATGAAAGGCAAAGAGCACTTTTTGTGTTTTTTTTCATCATTTGTTTGTAAAATAACTTTGTACATTCAATTAGATTAGTTTATAACGGTGTGTGTACTTTCTATATCTTGTATCATTATAACAAGGGTAACATTGTGCGTTTTTATTTAAGTAATCATTACATTTTTCAACAACTGAACAAACGTTAGGAAAGTGGAGGGACCCATTCATTATTGAATTTATTTTTGCAGTCAAAATAAGCATCTGGATGCTTTAAAAAAAATGAATCACATTTTCTCAGTTAGGGATGTAACAATTTGAAATCCCATGCAAGCATTTTTATGTAAAAATGGCAGTGCTTTGAGCTTATGCACAAAAGTGCTGTTGTATGTACTTATGTGCATCTCTGCACTTTGTAGAAAGCCATTAACTCAAAAGTAAGATAGCTGCATGTAAAAAGAGTGCCATTGCTTTCACAGCCTAATTTAAAAAATGTATCTCTTGACTTCAATGGCAGATACGGAAATCATGAAAACTCTATGAGAGCATTCCATGTGTCTGTTTGTCTACTGCTAAATATCCTTGAAATAAGGACTAATGAGTCATGCACACCTCTCTTTCTGGCCCAGGTTGGTGGGAGAATGTACAGATTAATGGTAAGGCAGAAAAATGTGGGGAAAATAGTTAATTTCTCTTAGTTTTTGTGCCACCGGGGATGGCCTTGCCTGGGGATCACTGCTTCTTCCTCTGGGACTGCAGCATGCACACTATCCATCACATAGACACTATGATCAGCTTTACAGCACCAGCCCAACTGGATCAAAGCACCGAAGGCACACCACATTGATTAATGGAGTGGCTTTTTGTCTAATGAAGGTCTTTATGTGCCCAAATCACAACAATTTAGAGTCTTTAGGGACAGAAATTCTGTTATATTTTAATTTCTTAATTATTCATTTTTGGCTCTGGTCAATGAATGAATGATTTCTGTTACCACACACAGAGCCAGCTCAATATCTCTCTATTGAGCCCCAATTATTCTTTTAATAATGGTACTGTTTTTGACTCTCCCATCTTAAATCACAAGCACAATTGCATTGTTGCAGAAATCAATATTCAGCTGAATTTGCTGTGCCTCTGCCAAGCCCATGGCTTCATGAGTGAGAAAATGTCAGTGCACCTTGGCGGATGTGCACGCAGTCATAGCTCCCAAACATCGCTTGACAGAGAGCAACATGAGTGAGCAAATGACCAGGCAGCTGCACCGTTCCTTTGTCCGTTCATAAATCACAAACGGCACACGGAGAGGCTGGAGCGTTTGCTGTGGCTCTCATGTCGTATTGCAGTGTGGTCTGGTGCTGAACATCTGTGATAACATGAGCCCCTGTTGGTGATACGGAAGATGAAAGGGAATATAAGAGGAAGAAAAAAAACAAGAGTCTCTGATTTAGAAACACAGCACCACATTTTTTCCATGAGTCATGCATAATTAGTGTTCATATCAGTAATGAGAAAGCTTAAACAATGCAGTTTACATGAGTTAGTGCAGTTTATGTGAACAGTTTTCAGTTCAGTGGAGATAATTGTGTGGAACTGTGATAGACCGAAATGAGGTAAAAAGGCTGCATTCATTTTGTCTTTTGTCTTTTTATCTTGTCTTTTTGTCTTACCTAAAGGTTTACTCTGTTAACAGAGCACAGATATGTCAGTAGCCTGACTGTATCAGAAGGTTCTTTGTTTTGATTTCAGGCCAGTTTCCCTGGTCCTGCACAGTTCAAACCGTTCTTTGTTAGAGGGAGAAACAATTTCATGGGCATTTGCTCGCTCCCTTCGATTGTTGTCAACTATGGACAGATTTTTTTATTAATATCTGAACGTGGTAGAGCCCGTAAACATCAATCCTGGGTAAAAACTCGATGTTTGTTTGCATCTCAAGTGTTTTTATATTGAATCTCATATCTGCTCCATTTCCACAGATACAGTAATCGCATTAATGCTGTTGATTCGAGCATTGCATTCCCTAAGGTGAGAGTTGCTGCTGTCTCAGTCGTTGATGGATGAGCGAGGAGATTTAGTTTCCCATAAGCCTTTTTATCAACAGAACTTGTATCTGTATGACTACAATTTCCATCTCCACAGAGTCAGTCACAGACATAAGATGAAGTCAAGTCCCCTGCACAGGCACAGAGTATAATAAAAGAGCAGTTGACTTCTTCTATTGGCTCAGTCCTTCATCAAATAATTGCTTCTAGTTACTTTCTTAGTTCAGGTGTTTGGAGTTGGCTTTATAAAAAGGGTAAAAGGACTATCCCTGGCTAACCCTGATAAGCTTTCAAGTTTTTAATCTCCTGCTTCTCTGTCAGATGCTCTGCAGTGCGTTATGAGTATAGTCGTTTCAATTCTGAGGCTGAGACGGCAGATTTTTAATCTTTAAAGACATTAAATACCAGCATATAGTGCAGATCTTCTATCATTTGTCAACATATTTGTTGTTCCTTGGTATTATCAGCCTAATATTCTGCCAAAAAGTTAATCTTAAGCAGGCTATGTATAAGCTGTTTGCTTTTTGCAAACCTAAAATACTTTGTGTTTTTATACATGCAGAACAATAATGTATGGAAATTCTCCTTAAGAGTTACTCTTGTGTTCAATAATAATTCATTTTCCTGACTATAAGAAGAGAGAACAATGTACAAGCTTAAAGTTGTGACATTTTAGCTGATTTACAAGAGGAGACTGCAATGCATGAACACACAGTAGTGGGATAGTTTGCTGCTGCTGTCAAAAGCAGATGGATGGAGAAACAGAGCTATACAGTAAACAAAATGAGGCAAAGAGACAAGCAGAGACACATGCACAAATGCCCTGTTCCCCAGAAGATAGTACACACAAAACACTCACAATTCACATACAATGTTGGCATAATTGTAAGTTCACATGGGTGATAAAGCAACATAATATAATGATCCAGTATATTTGAGGTAATAGATTTCTTTGAGAGGCAATGTACATTCTAACTGTGGTTATTGCTTTGTGAGTTAGTATTTTCCTTGCTTTCTGTGCACAGTACTTTTGTGCAATTCTGGTTTTAATAGTTAAAATATCACATGATCCATCCTCTATTACATTGTGCAGTGTTTGCAAAATGTAGCAAATGTCAAGACCTCATGCTGTAGAACAAAGAGGTTGCTTTCACTACTTAAACAAGTTGGCACAGGGGTGTATAATTTCGATCACTTGTCGACATGTATGCAAATGACTGAATTATGAATAAATACACAATTAGTTGAAGTAGTGTATGAGTAGTTTAGTCATAAAAGGTCATGCAGTCATCAAATGTTCACTACTTCTTTTTGCTTCATCTCAGTTGTGAAATTACAAAAGGGGTTGTTCTTGTGTTAAAGCTTCACCTGCTTTCCATTTCGAGACATTTTGTTATATGACTAAATCAAGATAACTCATAAGATAGAGAAGAAGATCCGCACTTCATGACTTATAAAGACTAAACATGTTTTTAATTCCAATTCTACTACAATGCATTCAGAGGCAAACAAGCCATATGTCAGTCTTAAGAAAAAGCCTCTCTTTAGCTAATTCTTCTCAGGTGTGTTCTCAGTATTATTGTATTGCTGATGGTTTGCAACACTCCAGAAAATTGGCATCTCTTGTGGCAGGCAATTTCACAGCCACGCGTATCTTACTCTACTTCAGTCTTCAGGACAGAACTGTCTCTTGCTTTTATTTGCAATTTGCTGAACAAATAGTTTTCGGATTTTGGTTTTCAATGGTGCGACAAAGTTAAAATCAGCAGACCAACAGAGTATCTGCAGAGAAAAACTGTGTTGACCT